TATGTGTCTTCAGCACTACACTCTTCATATGATGAATGATTACCGTAAATAAAAAGCAAAGTTGTTGGTTTGTTGTCAGCTACTCTTGTTGGAGCGAATTCGTTTCTAACTTCTAGTTCACACATACAAATTGCAGCTTATAGGAGCGCTGTCTTATTTCATGTATTCTCAAAAAGCATATTTCATGGCCACTAGTGTGTTTCTATGTTCTTGTGGAAAACAACCTACATGGATGCTTAGATGGTGCATTTTCCATTAGGCACTCATCTAAGTGACCTAGGTGGATGCCTAGGGCGGTTCTTGTTGCCAGGAACCGTGATTTCTAAAGCCACCCAGCTTGTTGAAAACATCATTCTGATTCGAAAATGTCAATTTTCTACATCCAGATTTCTTAAGATCATATCAAAATATGCGGCAAACATCTCTCCTAAGCTGAGTGTTAAGAAGAGAATCATGAACAATATTAACACCATTAAAATACAATGCTTTAATTATTGCTATTATCACTTAGATCACCATCTTGCAGACACAAGGATATTATTTAGTACTTAAAAACAGGTGATGCATTTATCAGGAGAAATATATAAAATTATTAGCAACCTTTTGGGTCCTTTTTTATGAGTAAATCATTGATGATTTATTTTTTTATGCAGGGATTGGAAATAGATTTAACTTCTCGAAATTTTGAGTCTCGATCAGTACTATTTAATTTATATCCACAGGCAATATTATCCTATGTGTATTGTATTAGTTTTAACCAAGTATTGGTCCTGGATTCAATAATAATGCCTATATTAGATGATGACTTTTATATCCACTCTATATATCTTCTATCATTCACGAAATATCACATGGCAATGTTTAGTATAACATGATTTTGTCTTGGATTTTATGCATTAGTTATATATATGAGCCAATTTTAATTTTTCTCCTCTATATTTAGCATCAGGTCTTTTAGTAATATGTCCAGTTTTTACATGCTGCATCACTTAACAATATATCAGGGTTATTTAATGTTTAAAATTATCATTGTTCATTTTGAATAATACTACACTAAGGTGATATTAAATACTTGATGCATTATAGTTGGATGTCATCTTTACAATACATTGTTAATCGTACTAAATTGTTGTTAATATTTGAAATGCTTGGGCAATGGGGGCAGGATGTCAATGGTAGACTTCTGACTGTAAATAAGGCAGCTCCTAGAGGGGCCCGCCCAGAGAGACCACCCCGAGAATTTGAGCCTTCTTTCAGGGTTTATGTTGGGAATTTGCCATGGCAAGTGGATGATGGTCGCCTAGAACAAGTCTTCAGTGAACATGGTAAAGTGTTGAATGCAAGGGTTGTTTATGACAGAGAGACCGGTCGTTCTCGTGGGTTTGGTTTCGTTTCAATGGCCACACAAACCGAACTGGATGATGCAATTGCTGCTCTTGATGGCCAGGTTTGTTGAGTTCTACTAGTTTATTAGATTTTTTTATGATAAAGACTGTTGATTACAAATTTTATATACCTGATGAGTTGCATGTTACATTGTCTTTGAGGGAATCTACAGTTTTCATTTTTCTCCAGTTTTCATTTTTTTCTTTAATATTTTGTGATCCCAAATTTATCCATCTAAAGTTCAACTTCACTCTACTCGCTAGCTGGCGTTTAAATCTACAAATCATATAACTTTCATGTTGTAATATATACTTCTAACTTGCATTCAAATAGGTACGGAATAGCAAACTTCTAGCTAATTTGATGAGAATATTTGAAGTGAATAGAATTATGAAACTATACAGTTTTTTTCTCTGTGATATTCGATTTTACTTCTATTCCCCATGTTTGCTTGAGAAAGAAATACAGGAAAATGTGTTCTAAAACTATATATTCAAATACGGCTTTAAATTGTGGGACTGGTGCGTTGAAAGTGGCAAAGTTTCATCTACATTTGAAAGCAGTAGAGTATATTTGTTCTGAATATTTTTAATGGAGTAATCAAGTATTCATCACTTTTTAATTGCTTGTATTATTGGCTGTACAGGATTTGGATGGTCGGGCCCTTAGAGTGAATGTTGCTGAGGAAAGACCCCGACGGGCATCCTTTTGATTCAGATGAAAGAAACATTTCTGAATCTTGTAAGTCAGTTAACGATCGAAGGGGTTTGTCATGATTCCATTTAATTTTGTACTTGTGCTATATGGGGATTTTTTGTTGAATTTTGGTCATGTAGTTCTTAATTCTTGTTTACTCAATATCTCTTGTGCATGGTCAACTGTATGATAACATTCTTAGGTATCTTGATTTGGTCTGAGTTCATTCTTATTTGTACATTTATATTTGTGGTATATAGGAGGCACATAAGTATATGCCATCAGAATATTGGATATATATCTTATGGTCTCATTCAATTGGTTATACTAATGAATGAATAACTTGTAATCACTTGCAACAAACTTTACCTCCCTGTACGTTATGAAAAAGCTTCTTTCAATTATAATTTACCCCCAGAAGTCTAATTTCATGCTGAGCCTGTCTATGGATATAAACTATTACAAGAAACAGAAACCAGACAAGAAGCTTCATTGATTCCTTCTACACCTTGACTGTAGATGTTGATGCTATACTTGTAATTCTTTTTGAGAAAAGCGTACATCAATTCTATGTGCATACAATATGCGGAAGAAATGTTTGTTATTAGTAGTATAATTTCCATCAACATTCCATTAGCTTATGGGCTGAAATGTCTAAAAGTACCACAAATGCCATCCCAATCTAGGAAACTACCTATGGTTCTTCCTCTTTTTTTTATCAGCTTTCTACTCTTCTTTATATTCCCCTTTACCAGGCTCTTCTCTTCTCTTATTTTTCATAAGTTCGATCTTGAAGTTAGTGTAGGGCCATGGTTGACTGTAAAAACGCACCTGAAGTCAGCCTGCTAGCATTAAAGGGAGGGGATAAAAAAAGAAAGAAATTTGATTTAAGAAGATATAAACTTGTGATACAGGTTGCTATTTGGATAATTATAACTTAATTTAGACTATCGTCTTAGATTGCTGCGTCCGTGTGATACTACATTAAGTTCAACCATAGACTGGAAAAATAAAAATAAAAATAACTATTTATTGATTTTTTTTTAGTTGCATCTGTGAGGCACCTAGTGTATTTGTACTGTGCTTCGATTATATTTGCAGGGGCGAGTGAGTTAGTTTCTAATGCATAAGAAGCTGCATCTTTTTTTCAGATAATATAACATAGGCAATAAATTTTCCCGTTATGATATTGCATGTTTTTCAGTACTTTTTTAGGTACACATGCAGTAAAGCCAAATTCCAACTTTAAAAGAGTCTGAAAAAGGGTTTCCTATTCTAGATCGCTTAAAATTATATCTGGCTATCTCGATTCAACATTATCAAGGGCACAGTGCATATGTATAGCGCATGCGGATTTAGGCTGCCATAAGAAAATACACACAACTTAGACATTGGAGGGATGCTGTCGGGCAATAATCTTTGCGAACTATCGGCATTGAATTTGATTTCCAGGTCTTTCCTATGCAAGCAAATTCATTAAGGAGTAATCAACCGATTGAACCTGAGAAATCGGTGTGGCGCATCTACTATATATATTTTTAGATAAATTCCACATGCAATCTTTAGTTTTAACATGTCAATAAATTATAAGGAAATTTGTTGATAGATTAGCAGCCTTCAAGCAGGTAGGCCAACACTGTAGTTGCCTTGAATTCATCTCTGTCCAGAAGACCTGTGAGCTATTGTCAATTAATGCTACCTGTATTTGTGACCTTAGTTTATTGCGTGACCTGTATTTGTGGCCTTAGATTATTGCATGACTTACATATATAACCAAGAAATTAGTTGCAGTTGTACTAATATAAAGTGCGACGGTGAATACATGTGCTGCAAGTTTTGCATGTATTTAAGAGGTGAAACCCTGAGATATTCTTGGATGCAAGTCTTTGTCCATCTGAGTCCCTCCAACCACATCTTTTTGCTGCCACAACTTTTGTCCGCCACCTTCTGCCTGTCTATCCTCTCGGTACTGAATGAAGCAGGCCCCAGTTCTTGACAAATGATCCATCACAGTTATTTCCTACATCTGCCTTCATGGAATGATGTTGATTGATGTATTTGTCTTTAAATCAAACTAGTGTACACCCCGTGCAAAGCACAGTCCCTATTTTTTTAAACACTACATTTTAAACTTGTGTCCCTCTAAGTTTTAATACATTTGATTTACTTATTATATACTTAAAATTAGAAATCATATATACTCCTCTATACTTAAAAAGAAGGATCCAAGTTTTAATACATTTGATTTAAAAGTCATATCTACTCCTCTATACTTAAAAAATAATTTAAGTTTTAATAAATTTGATTTGCTTTACTATTTATGATAAAGTAAAATACTGTAGCATAAATAATAACTTCAAGTATAAAGAAACAGATTTAATTTGCAGTTTATGTCATAGAAAATTATTGTAGCATAAACAATGACTTCGAGTGCAGACAACCAGATATCATTACTCTTTATACTACAATATTTACTGTAGCATGAATAGTAACACTTTGGGTTCTCCTTCTAAGTATAGAGGAGTAGACTTGTCATTTCTATTCCATGCCAAAATTTACTGTTGGGTCTCTGGTGGAGTCTCTTAATTTCAAATTATTGCTCTCTCACTCCAATGATACTTATATACACTTGCATATAGAATTTCTTGAGACTACATAGAGAATTTATTGAGTCAATAATTAGTTAGTCTATATATATTAGGTTGAACCAAAGGAAATAATTGTTCATCCGCTTAGATTACCTATAACAGCTCTTTCCTTTCCTAAACCTTTGGACCAGTGAAAGCCACACCCCTTAGACACTGTTGATGGTGATATTTGGTATTCAAATAAACGGATATATTTACGCTCTCTCAGGATCATACGACCTACCTTTCGAACAAACACTTCTATCAATCATATCATACTTCCTTTAAAAGCACGAGTTCAGGAAAATCTTTCTGTAAGCAAAAATACCTTTTGAATTCAAATATTATTCCATTAAGTAAGAGTAAGTTGATAAATTGATGAATTCTTATTGGATATACATAATATGAAGATAATGATACAGTTTAAATTAAAATATAAATCTAAATACAATTATTAAATGCTAAATTTATAAATGTCTACAAAATGAAGGGCATATAAGCAAAAGCTAAATAAATTAATGAGACAAATAATGTCTACCCCAAAGGTCTAACCCTGGAACAACGTAGACATGCAAATGTACATAATGTGGATGAGATATTTACAAAATCCACCAAACAAATTAAAGAGACAAAAGTCATTCTCAAAATTATAAAAAAGAAAAATTAAGGAAAATAAAAAATCATACTCCCTTTAAAAGCATGAGTTTAGAAAAAGTTTTCCATAGTCAAAACTATCCTGTACTATTTTAAATATTTAATTTAAGTTATAATATATACTAATCATACTTATATCCTATCCTAATACCCCATGAACTATCTATAGCTCAACAATTTAAATAAGATTAATAAAATATATGAAACATCTCCGTAATATCAGTTTATTACATAAAGTATTACAAAAAAAAGTAAAATTTTTTAAAAATTAGACAAAACACATTCAAAAGTTTAAAATTATACAAAATAAAAAGCTAAAAATTTAAAACTTGACAAAGAAAAGAGTAATTTGTGATATTCTTTCATTAAGATATATAAATATAACTTACAATTTAAGGTTTACTACCCCTTTTTCAGAATCTGAAAATAGTCAAGTTAATACTGGTAAAAAATAGTAATAATAACAGATTAGAAATATCCAGTTAAATAATAAAAATTTAAAAAATATATGATAGATTAAAAATTACTGTTATTGTTCAAATTAAAGTAACTGCATATAATTTTATCAATATGTTAGAACAGCAAAAATACATTAGTATCATTAATTAATAAAAGACTAAATCGCAAAAAACTAATAAAATACTATAATATAATAGTTTAACATTAATTAATTATAATTTATAAAAATTGATCTTTAATGGTAATAATATTTATTAAGTAAAAAGTTATAAAGATTTATTAATGGAGAACTATTAGAAAATTTAGAGATATCATTTAAAACAATCAAGTGGTTTTCATTTCAAATGGAATTCGGAACGTCCATGAATCACTTCAATTAATACTAACATAAGTTATATTTATCAAAGAAACACTGCCTGAATATCCCTGAAGAATATATTGAACAACTTTGTTCCCATTAAAGAAACATTCTTCATGGAAGATAAAAGAAAAATTACTATGTCATGAGCGTAAGCAAAAAATATAAAATCACCCTTTTTCTTTTTCTTATATAGTATCGTGACCCTGCGTGCGACTTTATTAGGGGTATGACTACTAACGAATGATCAATTCTTAAAGACACGATCAAGGATAATGATGTAATAACACTATTACAATTCAAGATCTCTAAATATGCAGGTAGTATATTTCATTAGTAAAATTCTTATTAAAGGCCACTGAATATAAAATTCACCTTATATCTGTCTCAAATTTATAGAGGAGATATGCATGTCATCATAAATTACATTAATAATATATATATATATATATATCAATCTAAAGATACAACTTACTTAAGAAATAAGAGAATAGTAAGTAAACTAAGCAAACATCCATATAACACCGTAAAGAAAAAAATATTACATTTTAAAGCTAATATGCAGCGCTTTTTTAGAGTAAGCTACCAAGACAAAAGCATCTCCATTAAGGCTCTTTATAAATGTAATAGAAATTCAAATTACTAATATATACAACCATTATAACATTCGAAAGAGGTGTGATCTTAGAAAACCTACTCTAAAATTCATACAATTATACCAATATATAGACACACTATTGCACCTTTAAGGCAACGATAACTACCATTTATAATAGAGTTAAGCATTGGTTCTATGTTTGCAAAGACTGTAATAAGAAAGTGGATAAAGATGTTAATAATAAGTATCTAGATGATAAATATTGTAGAATCACCAATGATTTAGTACTAAGGTTAAGTGATATCCCTTGTTCATGAAATGAATATATCAAAATTAAATATTAATATTATAATCTAAAGAAAATTGATAATGAAAAATATAATGTATTTAGTTTAGATCCTCATGGAAAATAACACAGACAGAGCGAAGGTAGCATTATGACACAACAGAAATTCTTATAGGATACACAACAGAAGAATTCATTGCACAAAAAAAGGTAGCTCCTAACCTTATTTCAGTAATAAATTAAAAGCACAAACTATTT